ATAAACTAAGTATAGAAAAACCAAACATTAAAAACCATTCAAATTATACAAACAAGATTGACGGTTGGATCATTGAAATTAGTTTCATAGAATTCGTATCTCATCCAAACCATAGATACTTAGACTTTATTTATACTTTCATTAAGTATAACATAAGATTTTGTGGTATCCACTTGTGTAAATATTTTAAATTGACGATCGAATTCATTCATTATATTCGTATAGGGTCAACAAGTGTAGTTGTAAAAAATCATCAAAATCGGAGTTAAAAAAACCGTTAAATCGTGATTTTTTGTTTTATAACCGTCGAAAAGTTTTGTCTCATTACTTGATCTCTGAATGTTTGTTTTTTGTGATTTTTGGCGTATGCGATCTCGAAGCATATACAAACAAGTTTGACGGTTGGATCGTTGAAATTAGTTTCATAGAATTCGTATCCCATCAAAACGATAGATTCACTAACACTTAGAGTTTATTTATACTTTCATTAAGTAAAACATAAGATTTTGTGGTATCCACTTGTGTAAATATTTTAAATTGACGATCGAATTCATTCATTGTATTCGTATAGGGTCAACAAGTGTAGTTGTAAAAAATTATCAAAATCGAAGTTAAAATAACCGTTAAATCGTGATTTTTTGTTTTATAACCGTCGCAAAGTTTTGTCTCATTACTTGATCTCTGAATGTTTGTTTTTTGTGATTTTTGGCGTATGCGATCTCAAAGCATATACAAACAAGTTTGACGGTTTGATCGTTAAAATTAGTTTCATAGAATTTGTATCCCATCAAAACGATAGATTCACTAACACTTAGAGTTTATTTATACTTTCATTAAGTATAAAATAAGATTTTGTGGTATCCACTTGTGTAAATATTTTAAATTGACGATCGAATTCATTCATTGTATTCGTATAGGGTCAACAAGTTTAGTTGTAAAAAATTATCAAAATCGGAGTTAAAATAACCGTTAAATCGTGATTTTTTGTTTTATAACCGTTAAAAAATTTTGTCTCATTACTTGATCTCTGAATGTTTGTTTTTTGTGATTTTTGGCATATGCGATCTCGAAACATATACAAACAAGATTGACGGTTAGATCATTGAAATTAGTTTTATAGAATTCGTATCCCATCCAAAGGATAGATACTTAGAGTTTATTTATACTTTCATTAAGTATAACATAAGATTTTGTGGTATTCACTTGTGTAAATATTTTAAATTGACGATCGAATTCATTCATTGTATTCGTATAGGGTCAACAAGTGTAGTTGTAAAAAATCATCAAAATCGAAGTTAAAATAACCGTTAAATCGTGATTTTTTGTTTTACAACCGTCGAAACGTTTTGTCTCATTACTTGATCTCTGAATGTTTATTTTTTGTGATTTTTTGCGTATACGATCTCGAAGCATATACAAACAAGTTTGACGGTTGGATCGTTGAAATTAGTTTCATAGAATTTGTATCCCATCAAAACGATAGATTCACTAACACTTAGAATTTATTTATACTTTCATTAAGTATAACATAAGATTTTGTGGTATCCACTTGTGTAAATATTTTAAATTGACGATCGAATGTATTCATTGTATTCGTATAAGGTCAACAAGTGTACTTGTAAAAAATCATCAAAATCGAAGTTAAAATAACCGTTAAATCGTGATTTTTTGTTTTATAACCGTCGAAAAGTTTTGTCTCATTACTTGATCTCTGAATGTTTATTTTTTTGTGATTTTTGGCATATGCGATCTCGAAGCATATACAAACAAGATTGACGGTTGGATCGTTGAAATTAGTTTCATAGAATTCGTATCTCATCAAAACGATAGATTCACTAACATTTAGAGTTTATTTATACTTTCATTAAGTATAACATAAGATTTTGTGGTATACACTTGTGTAAATATTTTAAATTGATGATCGAATTCATTCATTGTATTCGTATAGGGTCAACAAGTGTAGTTGTAAAAAATCATCAAAATCGGAGTTAAAATAACCGTTAAATCGTGATTTTTTGTTTTATAACCGTCGAAATTTTTTGTCTCATTACTTGATCTCTGAATGTTTTTTTTTTGTGATTTTTGGCGTATGCGATCTCGAAGCATATACAAACAAGATTGACGGTTGGATTGTTGAAATTAGTTTCATAGAATTCGTATCCCATCAAAACGATAGATTCACTAACACTTAGAGTTTATTTATACTTTCATTAAGTATAACATAAGATTGTGTGGTATCCACTTGTGTAAATATTTTAAATTGACGATCGAATTCATTCATTGTATTCGTATAGGGTCAACAAGTGTAGTTGTAAAAAATTATCAAAATCGAAGTTAAAATAACCGTTAAATCGTTATTTTTTGTTTTATAACCGTCGAAAAGTTTTGTCTCATTACTTGATCTCTGAATGTTTGTTTTTTGTGATTTTTGGCGTATGCGATCTCGAAGCATATACAAACAAGATTGATGGTTGGATCGTTGAAATTAGTTTCATAGAATTCGTATTCCATAAAAATGATAGATTCACTAACACTTAGAGTTTATTTATACTTTCATTAAGTATAACATAAGATTTTGTGGTATCCACATGTGTAAATATTTTAAATTGACGATCGAATTCATTCATTGTATTTGTATAGGGTCAAAAAGTGTACTTGTAAAAAATCATCAAAATCGAAGTTAAAATAACCGTTAAATCGTGATTTTTTGTTTTATCACCGTCAAAATGTTTTGCCTCATTACTTGATCTCTGAATGTTTGTTTTTTGTGATTTTTGGCATATGCGATCTCGAAGCATATACAAACAAGTTTGACGGTTTGATCGTTGAAATTAGTTTCGTGTATCCCATCAAGTTCAATGGTGTGTGTATATATATATATATATTTATTATGTAGATTTAAATCTATTTATTTTGTACGTATAATTATTATAGTTTTTTTAGGGGTATAAAATTTAATTTAAAATTTTATATATATATATATATATATATATATATATATAGTTATTATAGTTAATATTTTGGGGGTATAATTATTATAGTATATATAATTATTATAGTTAATTTAATATATATATATATATATATATAATTATAGTTTTAAACTTTTTAGGGGTATAAAATTGTTAAATTATTATATATAATTATTATAGTATTTTTTAGGGTTATAAAATTATTAAATTAATATTCTGCTTATCGTGTATCGTGTTACCCACGTGTATACCCGACCCAACCCGTTATCTTAACAGGTGCTTATCGGGTTACCCGATAATACCCGATTCGTTATCGTGTCGACTCAAACACCTGTTAATTTTGGGTCGTGTCGTGTCGGGTTATCGGGTCGTGTCAGTAATTGCCAGGCCTACTTTGAATTAACCTCAGGGCTTTTGCATCTCTGGAAATAAGATCCTGAGCAACAATCAGTAGATAGTCATCATTTGACACACAAAAATTCATAGTTAACACTATTGAAGATCAGAGCTTGAATATCAGCTCCAGATCTAGACATTTTGTTCTTCAATTTATTTGAGCTCTTGGTTGAAAGCTCAAAGAACATTTCTCAGATCATGCCTCTTGATTCAATTCGAACCTAGCTTTGAGGCCATGTTAGTGTGTTTAGGGGTGATGAACTCGATTTCCAATAGGATTTAACTCATGAAATCACTGAGAATGTGATCGCCGAATTGTAGAGAAATGGAAGAAAGATGGTCACCAATGTAATCTCTCAAGAATATATCTACATTGGATTCTCTCTCTCTCTCTCTAAAATATGTTAAAAAGAAAGCATGAGGAGCATGTGATAGAGCTGTTACTAGGCATCACACCTCAATAACAACGGCACACATAAGTTGCACATGATCAAATTAAATCAATTATAAAACAAGACATGTGGCACAATCTACACCATTTAGATTTTATAATTGTGACCATCCATTAGAAACTTTGCGAACTTAAACTTCAAAAAAAATCTTGAGATTTGTTTTTTGGTCAAACGATAGATTTGTTAGATTAGATGTTAGATTAAGGGGCCGACAGGGTTTGAACTTGTTGGAAATATTTTCGATAAGGATGCTACTTCTCCTACAACAAATCACATAAAATAACATTAGTATATCACAATTTTATCACCTGAATTTATTAAATAAAATAAACCAAATAAAATAAAATACTTAACTTTTGTAGGTAGAGAACGTTTTTCGTCGATCCTCAATTAGAACAAGATTTTAGGTTGAGGTGTGTAGTCATTGTCCTTAAGAGTAGATTTTGCCCCTCCAAGACAACGTCTCGGTGTAGCAGGTTATGGCGCCCTACCATCCAGGATACAACAACCTATAATCATCGTAAGCGTACACTCACAATACTTGGATCGTACGAACAACTTGATTTTCCTTTGGCATATGAGAGATGAAATTATAATAGCATTTGAGAGAATACAATAAATCAAGAGAGGAGAGGAAGGTGGGATTCCTTTAATTAGGTGAGGTTTGTAGGAAAGAAAATATTTGAAGTCCAATAGCAAAAGGAGTAGTCTAGGTAATGATCAACATAATCCTTACGGCATGAAGAATTGTTTTATATAGAACATGATAAAGGTAAACATGATCCTTGCGCAAAGGTCGTGAAAACAGACCTCGTGCGACGAAGAAGTGCACATTCGTTGCGCGAAAGGTATACGGACAAAGGTTTTAGTCGCATGATATAAAAGGGTACAAGTGTGCTTTGTGATGAGAATTTTTGGAGACGTCTAAAATTCGTCTCGAAAATCTTTGCGCGACGAAACATGTAACACGCGTGTGGTTTTGCGCGACGACAGGTCTACGTCGCGCAAGTGTAATTTTTAATAAAAAATAAATAAATAAATAAAATAAAAGGAATATTATTAAAAATATAATATCATACAATTCAGAAAAAAAAACAAATTAATGAATAAAAAACAATTTTTTATAATATAAATAAAAATGTACAAACAAATACAAAGTTTAAAAAGAAAGAGGGAACAAAAACTATGGAAAAAAATTAAAGAATAATCTATAAGCAAGTCATTTAGAGGTGCTTGGTAATCTTGCTGCTAGAAGAAGGTGGGGTTAGGGACGGGGTCGAAGGTCGATGGGCCTGATTGCTGTGTATGCACGGTGTGGAGGGGCTCTGACGGTCGTGGTGCAAAAAAACTGGGGAGACGAATCTCGGAGGAACTAAGGGCTTGTACAAGCATTCACATTTAAGACATATACAATGCAAGCTCACTCCTCATGCTAGCGACTTCCTGCGTCAAAGCCATAACCTCGCCCTTCGACTGCAAGGATGAAGATGCTCTACTCTCCCGCCACCTGGCATTTCCCATCCCCCGACAATATGTCCCTTGCGTCCGACCAAAAGTGTGGTTGAACGTCTCTGTAAGGATGTGAAACCCCGCATCTTCAGAGGGATCCACAGATCGATTGGCGTGTCCTGGGGACGCTGGGAGGCGAACTCTTGAAGTGACTAACCCTTCTCCACCATAATCGCCTATGAAAAAAACATGGATTATTAATAGAAAACAATTTGAAATCATTAGTATAAATCTTTAATGCATAAGAAATTACTTGCAAGAAGTAACTCGGTCAACTCATCCCAGGCCGAACATAAACGTTAGCAAAGACATCGATCTCCGGGAATTTTGAACCCTCCTGAAATAGAAAAAGATAAGGAAAATGTTAGTACGAAAACAAACAAAAAACATTATTAGTGACATTTTAAAATTGGAAATAAAAGCTGTAATATATACCTTCTGCCACGCCTACATCCTATATGAGAAAGGCCTTAAACCCGAATGGTGGAAAATAGTCTTCTTCTCCCGATTGCCCTTGTTCGGCTTCGCCTTCTTTTGTTATACACAAAATAAACATATTAGTCGTAATACTTAAAGAACATAAAAATTTAAAAAAAATCATAATAAACATTAGTAAAAATTTTAAAAAGTAACATGAAAGAAGTCCTAATTAAAAACGCACCACATAGCCCGGCTCCTGAAAATGACCGCAAAGTCAATCCCAATTTTCTTGTCGGTCTTCAAGCTCGTTCGGGCAACCCTCCTCGAGAGCGACCTGCGGATCACTAAACATCTCGAAATACTGGTGCAAGTCACTCTTCCACAACTTGTAGCGTTCGGAGTATAGCCGATTGAGGTACGTCAACATGTCCTCGTTGATGTCATCCAAATTGTAGTTTGTCTACATGTAACAAATATTATGAAAGTATTATTAATAAAAGACATTGATAAATATAAATATATAAATTTTAGATGAAAAGCATTAAAAAGGCAAAAATACTTACTAACAAATGATTGCGCACCGTGTTCTTCACCTTCTCTGGCATCGCCTTCCAAGACTTCCACTGCATAGGGCAAAAGGTCCGCACGACGTGCCCAATGTCAAGGGCCAATGCACTATGCTACTCCGTCGTTGGTGTTGTCCGATGTCGCTCATCATATCCGATTGTGATACGATCATTGGTCACCCGGGTGACCTTCACCGTCTTCAATTGCCAACATGGTCCCCAGGTGTTTTTCTTGGCTGCAAAGAAATGAAAAATTAACGTTAACCCAAAACTAATAACAAATCATACTAAAATTTCTGCATAACCCCCATATAATGAAAACATTTCCCAAAACCCAAAAAATAACATAAACAATATACATATCCAACACAATGATCACAACAGTTTAATAATAGGTTCGGAACGATGACAACAATAAACAATATATATATATATATATATGATAACTTTTTAATCCTTAAATGACATAACTTAACAAACTGAACCTAAAATAACAAAACTAAGTTAACATGGGAATGAGGTAGTAAATTAGGATAGTATACCTAGCTGTGTACCGGAGGCATTGGTTGTGGATCCTGTTGGCGACATCTGGTATGGAATGCGGGGGCACCGGTGAGCACGTCGGGCGCTAACAGGTAGCACCATCGAAGAAGTCGAATATGCCGGTGCCAGTAGGACTGGAGGACCAACTGGGTCAACCGGATTCATTGACCTATGGTCCATCTCTGCCGAAGCAGTGGCAGTAGTAGTAGGTGTAGTCGTCGATCAAGGTGTAAAACTCACCGCCTTCCGGGTTCTAATGAGCTATTACATCTACAAAATTGGAAATAAATTTGTTAGATTACAAAGATTTAAATTACCGTACACATGCATAATAATTTCTACTTAAATTTAAAACGAAATTTAAACCCTAATTCTAAACCCAATTCAAGTTTGGCAGAAACAAAACTTTAAACTGATCTACTATACACAAACTAATCAATGTCATATAGGATCAGTGGTGGATCAAAGATTTTAACTTAGGATGGTCCCAATATAAAAGCTCCAAATAAATAAAAAAAAAATGCTAATTGCCTGGTCTATAAGACTATAAAACTCCATGTGCCTCTATCCATTTGAACTGTAGAACAGTTAAAATTTGAGTAAAAATTGCAACTAGGCTGAAAGCATGCAATTCATATGCAGCATCAGTAAGTGTAGCATCATTGATGCACCATCAGTAGGTGCAGCATCATAACAGGATGGCAAAATTATTTAATGCACAGATTCAAAGAGAGTACAAACTACAAACCTTTTCGACCAAGAAGAAGAGGACCAGCGGCTAGCCTCCAGAGTCCAGACCAGAGCTTTACACGGAGAAAAAATGTAGATTTTCACCAGAGATGTCGTCGACTCGTCGCCCCGCCCGTCGGTGCAATAGTGAACAGAAACTAAAGTGCAGCAGAGAGTTGATCGATGCCGTAAGGAATAGAAGCGGGCCGAGCGGCAGACGATTAGATATTATTGGTAAAGTGAAGGTTCTGAATGCTGAATGAGTTGATTGCTCTATCATGTGAGGGTTCTCATGTGACTCGTGAGTGAGGTTTTAAATTTTTTTAATGACTTGGCTCAAACCGAAGTCGTTTTGGACAAGTCATTTTGCAAAAAAATTGGCTTTCTTCTTTCTCCTCATGAAATGCACAGCCTAATTGAGTTAATCTATTCAATTATTTAAAAACTCAAACAGGAATTAAAGCCTAATTGAGTCCAAATACATAATTTATAAAACAAAACCTTAAATTTAAATAGTGTCCTCAAAAACAAAAATTTAAAACTACTATTTCGATGGTGCTCCACTTTGCTTAACGTCATAGCGCCACCAGTTGTAACCTCCCTCCAACGCCGCCTCCATCAACTTCATCAACTCTTTGTTCGTATCATCATCAAGAGTATACTTACAATGTTACACATATATGCAAATAATTCATTCCAACATATAACAAAAAAAAATTCACAAAATTAATTATTGATCCATCAACAGCATAATTACTAATAATTCATCCATCACCACCTTCTTGATACAATCGTGCACATATTTCCTAGAACGCCACTCAGCAGTAGAACAATTATTCCCCATGGCTACAACAATTGCATGTGCGAACTCCACAAGTTGTCTCAAATCATACGGGTTGGTGATGGATAGCCAGTCAAGCATATATAGAATTTTAGTTGACTAGTGTTGATGACTAGCCAGTCAAGCGTATATAGAATTTTAATTACAGGATATTTCACTTGGAACCAATTTCATGCTTGAACGTGTGTATTGTGTAAACTCTTCACTATTAATAAGAACTCATCTACCCTCTATATCTTTACATATTATCCTCACTAGGTAACGGGAATAACTTTGTGAAGGTGACAAACTTGACACCATACGTCATTCCATAGTCTCACTTATTTTGTGCATCAACATTATTTGTAAATAGTCTCTTACAAGCAATTGAGCCCGCGTGTGCCATCAGTTTTAAAATTGTGTTAAACAGGTGGAATATATTAAAATCTATTAGAATCCTTATGTTCAACAAAGAATTAAAAATAGGTGTTTATAATACATAGCAAAAGTTTTAAAAATATGTACAATACAATCCTCGACCAATTCAAGCGTACACTTTTTCTTTTCTTCTATCAAAATTGTCATGTAAACCCAAAGTCATATGCAAAGTCAGCTAACTGAAAACATTTGTGTTCAGTTGTGTAAAAAGTTGATCACGCTTTAATTGAAAAAATAATCGTTAATACAATTAGGAAAGAAGGGAAAGATGATTCTCATGAGGAGTTAGAAATATTTTGACTTCAACAAGAAGATATTGACAAGGTTTTACATACGTACCTGCAAGCTCAAAGCTGTAGTATTATCTCCAAAAAAAATAATAAATAAATAAAATAAAATTATTCCATCTTAAAATTTTATTTGTGGCGTAGCTTATTATTGTCCTTATTAACAAAGGAAAACTAATAAAAATTACTTAAAAACTTTGAGCTTTAACGATAACGACAAAATAAAAGGTAAAGTGAATAGACCAGGATTGACTTTTTAGTGTAAAATTTTGGTTTTTTGTTAAAGTGAACAGTACGAGGAGTTTTTCGTTAAAGTTCCCTATTAACAATTACTACCATGTCGAACTGAGTTTCCTTACAACAGGACCTATTAAAATGATAACTTATTACAATGTGAAATTTATTCCTAAACCCAAACATGGACTAAAACTTTTTATGACTACAAATAAGTTATTCGTTTATAGAGAGAGGTTTTATTGTAGCATTCACAGCACTTATAGCTTTTTATTGAATTATTGAATCTCAAAGAATGTTTACATTATTGCAAGGAAATACAAATGCATAAGGAATTGAAAATATAAATACATAAAAAAATAAAAAAATTATCCACTTAAATGTTTATAATGAAGTGTAGCTTTCTTTGAATTTATTCTTCTTAAAAATTTTTGAACCAGTGTGCTGAGAGTTTTGGTATCTTTTCAGGCCATCTTTATAAATCCACGTAGTTTAAACCAAATCGGACAGTGTGTATCCGGCAGTCCATTCAAAGTCGTTCTAACAATGTCCATGCAAAGTATCCCTTCACTTTCGCGCCATTTCTGCACACACACACACAAATGTACAAATTGGTTAGGTCAATATAATGATTAAATAACCATAACATAAGAAGGCTAGGCAGTATATAGCCTTAATCATTTTGTTAATAACTACTTACTTGATCGCCGCTTGAAGGTAACACAGGTGACGATAGTAGTAGTCAATTCTACTGGTATCATGAAGGGCCTCTTCAAGTGATAGTTCTGGATTATTCAACTCTGATACACCTATGTACATATTATTACACAAAAAAATTAAATTTAGTTTCTTCCTCTAAAACTAAAAGAAAACGTGTAGTTTCATTTTACACCACTATAAATATGTGAAACTTTTGCAATTAATCAAGGCTTAAAAGTTTGTATTACATACCATTCTCAGTAATATAAATGAGTGGATCATTATATTTTTCCTTTGTGTAAAGCACAAGATCGTGAATTCCTTTTGGATATACATATAACCAATCTGAAGCAGCCTGCAACACCATTTGAAGATAATACATAAATATTGGGGGGAAAAAAAACTACTCCTCCAAATGCAAATACTTCAAAATGATAAATTTGATATTTACCTGTGGACCAATGAGTGCTCCATTAAGCTCAGCTGCCACAATATTTACAAACAATTAGAATACAATTGGTGTAAATATTAGAATATAATTAAAGTAATTAAGAAGTTAAACTAGGCAAAGAAGTACAAAGAACTTAAGCTATTCAAACTAAGTTTCCTTTTGCACTCACTTGTAAGATCAGCTCGAGAATCTGTTACGTAGCTTTGCCGGTAGTGAATTGTTGTTGGGTGCACTACTTGCGTATCTAGCAGTATAATAATTTATTCCAAGAAAATCAAAATGATCCGTTTAGCAACTTGGATTGTTCTTTTGTGAATTTGGGCAATCTTTTCCCAACAATTGATCGCATGGTGTGTGGATAGTCACCACTTGTTAATGGGTCCAAAAACCTACAAAACATGACAATTCCGGATATTAGCCTAATTATATTATTATATTAAAGAGTACTGCTAGCTAGGTAGTATCAATGTTTCAATTCATAAGTAAACATGTAATTGGGTTGATATATAATTTAATAAGACACTTGCCATCCAAACATAAAATCCAAAGATCGTAAGGCCAGCATCTTTATCTTGCTTTGAATCCGAAGCAGGCTCAAACCAGTCTGACACCAATGTTATCCCTATCAAGCCTTTTTGAGTTGCCTACACAAAAATACGAATTTTTGGTTGAACAAATAGGAGCTATGGAAAAAGATACAACCTTTAGATTATCTCACTACAGAGAGTATTCCCTCTTGTATTAACAACTCAATAATAATGATTCATATAGAATTCTCAATTTAGGAGCCAATAATCTGACCCCAAAAAAAAAAAGAACGAAAAGTTATTGAACCTGATATCTATTCTTGTACAATTCTACAGCTGCTCCATGAGCAAGAAGGAAGGTGGTGTGCCACCAAGTATGGTTCAATGGCTGAATCTCCACCGGTTGCAGTTTAGGTTTTGCCAAGAGAGAGCAGCGTCCCGGTACTTGAGTACCAACAGCATAACCCATGTAACTAAAAGTATATGGCTCATTTTCCCGTGAACCAGTGCTTGACTCGATCACCAAATTCCTTATAACAAAGTTCCGCATAGTCTTTAAAATGATCGCTGTAGATACACATTTATGTTACGAATATCAGTATGCATTTTATCAAAATTATCACTGAGAGAATAAATTTTGTTTCACTTACACAATACGAGGAGCTAGGCTGGGCTAAGAAACCACCATATTCATCTTCTAAAGCTTGGGGAACATCCCCATGAAAGAGTGTCACAAATGGCTTTAATCCTATATATACATGATCAGTAAAATCAAATTAAAAAGTCTGATTGAATGATGTTCTAAAAAATTCATGCAATAATTGTTTAAGGTAGGATGATTAACCATTGCGTAGGAGTTCATCGATGAGATTGTCGTAATAATCAATTCCTTTTCTGTTAACGCCACCACTTAACGTTCCATCTAATTAGAACAAAAATAACAAGAAAAATAAGGGTTATACACTAGATAACTCGATCACATTAATTTACTTAAAAGTATATAAAGAGAATAATTTTCTCGTAGGACAAATAATTATTATGCACAATATATATTGACATTGGTCCCAACCAAATATGAGGATGTGGAGCAACTTACTTGGTAATAATCTGGACCATGAAATAGAGAATCGGTAAGCATCCAACTCCATATCCTTCATAATCCCCACATCTTCCTAGAATGACAAAAGGATATATATCATAATAAGAAAAAAGTTTAAAATTAAATATTGAGGATCTCATTATATTGTGCTTTTTATAAAGGCTCCAATTTAATATGTTAACATGTGCCCTTCAAGTATAAACGGTCAAGATAATAAAGTTATGAGATTCTAGACCTTATAGCGGTGATATTGATCAATAGCAACGTCTCCGTTACTGCCATCAGCGATTTTTTTCTGCACTTGTTCAAAAACATAATGGTGAAATCCATATCATATGCAAAGTACTTCATGTGCGTGCGTATTGATGAGTATATACAATATTTGTACATATCACATGACCACGTACTATTTGTTCTCCAACAAAGGTGCATGGTTATCAGAGGGGGTTGGAGTTTTGTTAGGTATACTTGTCCTCATGAATAAAAGAATGAGGTGCTAATTATACACCTTTGAAATGAAGTTGCTAAAGTTTTCATATTACCAATTGATTAAATCACAGACCTGGATGTTTGTGGGGTGTAGGTATCCCATATGCTTGGTCCTCTTCCATCTTCTTTTACTGCACCTTCATACTGAAATATACATACATGCATATTCGTAAGTGTACTACCACACACGCAAAGGAAGATGTCAACATTATAATTCATGCATGGATGCTAACTGCATGTATAAAATGTACCAATAAAATGGTAAATAATCCCAGAAGATATATATGTAATACATATATATATTGACCCTGATAAGATGCAGAACCTGTTGCCAAATATGAACCCTGGTTCAAAAAACTGTTGCGATTGAGGAATTCGCAATAAACAGGTGGACCCGTATTAGCAGCTTTGCTATTTGTNGGTGTGTGGATAGTCACCACTTGTTAATGGGGTCCAAAAAACCTACAAAACATGACAATTCCGGATATTAGCCTAATTATATTATTATATATAAAAGAGTACTGCTAGCTAGGTAGTATCAATGTTTCAATTCATAAGTAAACATGTAATTGGGTTGATATATAATTTAATAAGACACTTGCCATCCAAACATAAAATCCAAAGATCGTAAGGCAGCATCTTTATCTTGCTTTGAATCCGAAGCAGGCTCAAACCAGTCTGACACCAATGTTATCCCTATCAAGCCTTTTTGAGTTGCCTACACAAAAATACGAATTTTGGTTGAACAAATAGGAGCTATGGAAAAAGATACAACCTTTAGATTATCTCACTACAGAGAGTATTCCCTCTTGTATTACAACTCAATAATAATGATTCATATAGAATTCTCAATTAGGAGCCAATAATCTGACCCCAAAAAAAAAGAACGAAAGTTATTGAACCTGATATCTATTCTTGTACAATTCTACAGCTGCTCCATGAGCAAGAAGAAGGTGGTGTGCCACCAAGTATGGTTCAATGGCTGAATCTCCACCGGTGCAGTTTAGGTTTTGCCAAGAAGAGCAGCGTCCCGGTACTTGAGTACCAACAGCATAACCCATGTAACTAAAAGTATATGGCTCATTTTCCGTGAACCAGTGCTTGACTCGATCACCAAATTCCTTATAACAAAGTTCCGCATAGTCTTTAAAATGATCGCTGTAGATACACATTTATGTTACGAATATCAGTATGCATTTTATCAAATTATCACTGAGAGAATAAATTTTGTTCACTTACACAATACGAGGGCTTAAGAAACCACCATATTCATCTTCTAAAGCTTGGGGAACATCCCCATGAAAGAGTGTCACAAATGGCTTTAATCCTATATATATACATGATCAGTAAAATCAAATTAAAAGTCTGATTGAATGATGTTCTAAAAATTCATGCAATAATTGTTTAAGGTAGGATGATTAACCATTGCGTAGGAGTTCATCGATGAGATTGTCGTAATAATCAATTCCTTTTCTGTTAACGCCACCACTTAACGTTCCATCTAATTAGAACAAAAATAACAAGAAAAATAAGGGTTATACACTAGATAACTCGATCACATTAATTTACTTAAAAGTATATAAAGAGAATAATTTTCTCGTAGGACAAATAATTATTATGCACAATATATATTGACATTGGTCCCAACCAAATATGAGGATGTGGAGCAACTTACTTGGTAATAATCTGGACCATGAAATAGAGAATCGGTAAGCATCCAACTCCATATCCTTCATAATCCCCACATCTTCCTAGAATGACAAAAGGATATATATCATAATAAGAAAAAAGTTTAAAATTAAATATTGAGGATCTCATTATATTGTGCTTTTTATAAAGGCTCCAATTTAATATGTTAACATGTGCCCTTCAAGTATAAACGGTCAAGATAATAAAGTTATGAGATTCTAGACCTTATAGCGGTGATATTGATCAATAGCAACGTCTCCGTTACTGCCATCAGCGATTTTTTCTGCACTTATTCAAAAACATAATGGTGAAATCCATATCATATGCAAAGTACTTCATGTGCGTGCGTATTGATGAAGTATATACATATATTGTACATATCACATGACCACGTACTATTTGTCTCCCAACAAAGTGCATGGTTATCAGAGGGGTTGGAGTTTTGTTAGGTATACTTGTCCTCATGAATAAAAGAATGAGGTGCTAATTATACACCTTTGAAATGAAGTTGCTAAAGTTTTCATATTACCAATTGATTAAATCACAGACCTGGATGTTTGTGGGTGTAGGTATCCCATATGCTTGGTCCTCTTCCATCTTCTTTTACTGCACCTTCATACTGAAATATACATACATGCATATTCGTAAGTGTACTACCACACACGCAAGGAAGATGTCAACATTATAATTCATGCATGGATGCTAACTGCATGTATAAAATGTACCAATAAAATGGTAAATAATCCCAGAAGATATATATGTAATACATATATATATTGACCTGATAAGATGCAGAACCTGTGCCAAATATGAACCCTGGTTCAAAACTGTTGCGATTGAGGAATTCGCAATAAACAGGTGGACCCGTATTAGCAGCTTTGCTATTTGTCAATGCAAAGCCAATGAGTAGCAGCACACCAAAGAGCAAAGATCTTGAATATTTCATTGCCATAACTTGGGAATTTTGATATCGATCGAGTTAATTAAGTTGTCTCTTCCCGGAATATTGCATGGGGTTTATATAGAGGAACGGAGGAAGGGATATGGTGTCTACGTACCTGCTCATGAGAATAGTAAAGGGTTAAAATTCGTAAACAAATTGAATTTTGAAGTCCTAGTTTAAAGACCAGGTCGTGGTCTGCAGTTTAAAAGAAAGCACGTTTACCTGCTTTTTCCAACAAGAGAAAAATATTATCTGCGTTCATTTATCTGGATTTTTATATTATGTCTGCCAACTGTTGAAGCCATGACTTCTGAAGGTCAATATGGACGATCAGTGATGAGATTTTTCGCATGCGCCAGGCTCCAGCTACAGTGACTTGTTCAAACAGTAGAAAATTATTTGACCCATAGAAATTTATGACCCGAATTCTTTACGTAAGTACATAACCGATAAGGTTGAAGAATTTAATCTTTGAATTAAATCCTGATCTTTTTCTTGTTGTTAGAGTTTTAATATTGAAAGCGTCCTGTTATCAAGGGTACGATGCATGGACATGGGAGAAAACCTCCGTATCCCGTATCGGACACTCTGAGGATACGGATACGCGAAGGATACGTGTGGATACACGCCCGATACGTATCGGAATGAAGAGATACGTATCGAACTGATAAGATACGCGTATCGTATTGTCCAGATACAAGTATCCTACATTTCGGATACGTTTGATACTAAAATAGGAGGATAATCAGAAGAAAAATAAAAAATAATCACAATAAATCCGCAGAATCGTGATTGATCGAAGTTAGGTAACTGAAATCACTCTAAAATCGGAGGATAATTAGAAGAAAAAAAAATTGGATTTATCTCCCGAACCTCAAAATCAGAAATCACTCTACTTGGGAGACTTTCACGAATCAGACCGTCATCTGCAACAGTTCCGTCATCAACGTCGTCTCTATCTTCTCCGTCTGCAACTGCTCCGTCGTCTTCTTCGTCTCTGTCTGCAACTCCTGGTGAGTGAGTGGTGAGCTTTCTTTTTCAGTTTCACTTTGTTTATAGTTAAACTGTGACACCCGAAACCCATCTCTGAAACTGAAACTAAAGGTCTAAAACCCGTCTTTGATTCCCCGAGGACATCACAAAACCCATCTCTGAAACAGTGAAACCGAAAGTCTGAAACTGAAAGCTTAATCTGATATAAAGCCTTTTGCAGTTTTGCTTTTCGAAAGTTGAAAAACTAATATAATATGTATATCACTACCCATAACCCGACACGACACGACACGAAATTAACAGGTGTTCGGGTCGACACGATAACAAAACGGGTCATTATCGGGTAACCCGATAAGCACCTGTTAAGATAACGGGTTGGTTCGGGTATACACGTGGGTAACACGATACACGATAAGCAAAATATTTATTTAATAATTTTATAACCCTAAAAAAAATACTATAATAATTATATTTATTAATTTAACAATTTTATACCACTAAAAACTATAATAATTATATATATATATATATATATATATTAAATTAACTATAATAATTATAATAATTATATATACTACAATAAGTATACCCCAAAAATATTAACTATAATAGTTATATATATATATATATATATTAAATTTTATACCCCTAAAAACTATAATAATTATACATACAAAATAAATAGATTTAAATCTACTTAATAAATAAATAAATATATACACACACACACACACACCATTGAATTTCATGGGATACGAATTATACAAAACTAATTTCAACGATCCAACCGTCAAACTTGTTTGTATATGCTTCGAGATCACATCAGCAAAAAATTACAAAAAAAAACATTCACAGATCAAGTAACGAGATAAAACTTTCCGACGGTTATAAACGAAAAATCACGATTTAACGGTTATTTTATCTCCGATTTTAATGATTTTTTACAGCTACACTCCTTGACCCTATATGAATACAATGAATGAATTCGATCTTCAATTTAAAATATTTACACTAGTGGATACCACAAAATCTTATGTTATACTTGATGAAAGTATGAATAAACTTTTAAGTGTTAGTGAATCTATTGTTTTGATGGGATACGCATTCTACGAAACTAGTTTCAACGATCCAACCGTCAAACATGTTTGTATATACTTCGAGATCACATGCGCCAAAAATTGCAAAAAAACAAACATTCAAAGATCAACTAACGAGACAAAACTTTTAGACAGTTATAAACGGAAAATCACGATTTAACGGTTATTTTAACTCCAATTTTGATAATTTTTTACAGCTACACTCCTTGACCCTATATGAATACAATGAATAAATTCGATCTTCAATTTAAAATATTTACACTAGTGGATACCACAAAATCTTATGTTATACTTAATGAAAATATGAATAAACTCTTAAGTATTAGTGAATCTATTGTTTTGATGAGATACGCATTTTACGAAACTAGTTTCAACGATCTAACCGTCAAACTTGTTTGTATATACTTCGAGATCGCATACGTCAAAAATTGCAAAAAACAAACATTCAAAGATTAAGTAACGGGACAAAACTTTTCAAAGGTTATAAACAAAAAATCACAATTTAATGGTTATTTTAACTCCGATTTTGATGATTTTTTACAACTACACTCCTTTACCCTATACGAATACAGTGATTGAATTCGATCTTCAATTTAAAATATTTACACTAGTGGATACCACAAAATCTTATGTTAGACTTAATGAAAGTACGAATAAACACACTAGTGGGTCACTTTCATTAAGCTTTGAGTTTCATTGGCAATGTTTAAACTTTTGAGAAAAGCTTTACAACCTTGAAAACAAAAACGCTTTCATTTTGCATATCCTTGCACATTTAATATTTGTAATAGATTAGTAGTGTATGGATGTATTTTTTATGAGGCTCTTATTTTCAAGTGTAGATGTAGTATTTAAGCGACAAATGTGTTTTAATGTTTCGAAGTAATATTTATGTGACAATGTGTGGTATGTGCAAATTTAAGAAAAAAAAATAGTTTTCTTAACGGGTCATAACGGGTCGGGTCACTTTACCCGTTGGGTAAAGTGACCCGACCTATTAAGGACCCGTCCGTTAAGATAACAGGTGTGACACGACACGACCCGTTAAGATAACAGGTGTTACACGAACACGACTGACACGACCCGTTTGCCAGGCCTACCCATACCCACAATAATATATTATAATACTCATACCACTACCCATCCCATAGTCCATTCGAATTTGATGAATCTTCGAATCTGATGAAGCCTGTTGCTTTTCTCTTTTTAACTTTTTGTATTATTATAATATTATTGTATTTTACATATTATAATATATTATTGTGTAGTGGTATCAATGTTTAGTTTATAATAAGTTTATGTATATGCTTTCATGATGTGTTTTTTATCTCTTAACATAAATGTCTCATATATATTTGAATGCTTATTTTATAATGTTTTAGATATATTTATTTATTATATTTTTTAATTGTCGTATTCCTGACGTATCGTGTTCTCGGTTATAGAAATTTGACGTATCCCCGTGTCGTATCGTGTCGTATCCTCGCATCTGTGTCCGTGTCCATGCATCGTAAGGAGTCTGATTTTATGTGCTGCCACACCTCTGGTTCTATCGGAAATGAGGTTTGGTTTGCTGAAGGAAGAGGAGCCTCCATGTCCCAACGAAGAAGATGATGCAGAGAGACTCATTTTCTCTCTCCCTCGTGACAAAGTAACATTTTTTGTCTTCTTTAGCTGTCATCCTATGAGCTTCTGCCACCTTCAATACTATTCATTAAAGGGCTCCTTATGAATTGGGAGGTGATATATATATATATATATATATATGCCGACAAAAAAATCGGGAGGTGTGGCGCCAGAAATATTACAACCACTAGCATGTCTACATCACTCAGCCTACGCTTTTTAGCACTTGCATGTCTACACCAAATATATTACATCAATTACCACTTGCATGTCTACATCACAAAAAAATTGTGATGTTTTTTTTTTTTTTTAAATATAGCTTATTAAAAAATTTAAAAAATTAAATGTGTTTGACAAAACAAAAAAGAAATATTTTTTTATAAAATATCTGTTGGCAATGATTGTAAAAAAGTATAGAAAGGAAAAGTCTACCATGTTTCTAAAAGCAATGCCTTTTTATTTCAAAATATAGTAATCGGTGTCTATTTAATAAAGTTTTCAAATAACAAGTGCATCCCCATATATTTTAAAAAATTACAATTATTGTCCTTACATAATTCTCTTTGACAATTATTATCTCACATTAAATATCATATCATGTTTAGTCATTTAACATATTCATATCATGTTTAGTCATTTAAGATATTATTTTTATTTTTTAAAAGCACTTTTATCAAAAAGGTAAAGCAAGCACTCAACACTTTATTTTACAGTTATTTATTCTCAAAACACAGCAGAAGCATTTTTTTTTCAAAGCACAACAATAGCAAATTATCCCTTATTCACATGTTTAACACCATTAATTCTTTTAAAATTTATAATAATTTTCATAAGACTTCTCAAAAATATTTCTTAAAGCACTACAGACTAGTAATCACTTGAATTTTCATCTCATACCATCAAATTACTAAGACACTAATTAAAGCAAAAAATCTAATACTTTTATATGTTGTATGCTAAATAAACCCAAACTCCTAATTTAAGTATAATTTTTTCATTGTAATTAGACACTTATTTATATAATATATAATAATTTACTTAAATCTGTCTAGTCTGCCTATGCCTCACCTAGGCGCTAGTGCCCAATTAGGTGTCCAACTAGCACCTAACTTTGTTGCTGTTGCGCTCGACGTTTCTTTTTTATTCCCTGGAAAACCAACAAAACAACGCCATTTAGGTGTTTAATTAAAAATAAATAAATTATACCTCTTCAGTCTTCACTCGTTTCCCTTTTTTAAACTCCACAAATTAGAGCACACCTAACTGTGACATGTAGGATGTTACTTTCAATTCATGTGTTTCGAAGAGGTAATACGA